GACAGACTGAAAGGGAGGAGGGACGTTCAGACCGTGTCTATTAAAAGTAAAGGGAGGGTCGGGGTTCGGTCTCTCTTTCCTGAGAGCCCACTGTCGATAAAAACACAATTCAGCTTCCTCCCAACTGGGTAAATGTGATACAAAGGTTTTAATCCAACACAGAGGCTTTCCAAGAACTCATGTTTGAAGTTTTTCTTTTCATTTTGCTTTTATGGCTTAAGTGTTTTGTTTTTTAAAGTTATTTATGTTGCGTGTAACAGGACAAAGAGTTTTTTTCGGTGACCTGCTTTGGTCAACATTATTACAAGTTGTTCAAGCTCTCCTCCATTCCTGTTCCTAACAGCCCCTGTGACAGGAAGTAAACGCAGAGCTACTTCCTACAGAGACAGGGAAACAGGAAGCAGTGGGAGTGTGGAGGGGAGGGTGATTTCCTGGAGCAGGGAGGGAAACAGAGACCCCCCCATCTCCCCCAGCCACCCTCTCTGTGACATCATCCAGTCCACCGAGACAGCCACAAAGCAGGCAGAACACAGATTATGGAGCCAATCTGCAGACATGCACACAGCCATTGAAATGACTGCAACTAGTTAACTAATGCACTTTGAAACATTATATATCTATGACTCTGGCTAACCTGCAAAAGATGCTCAGACATTTGATTGCGACATAAATTAGAAGAAAATATGTAATATGAAGCTGTTATTTCAACACAATAAGGTATTTAATAAAAATATCTTTAACTTAGTGAGGCGCAGCAACACAGAGGCAAACCCTGAAAACAACACGTTCATGAAAAGTTCTAGCAGTCTTCAAGCCATTTGAAGGCTGGAAGACTCACGACTGCATCTTCTGTTTCATATTAAAATGAAGATTACCATATGATTAAATCAAGTACAATCTGCACAAGAGCTTTTATCCAAAAAGTCTCTCTGTCAAATCTCACCAATAAGCAGATGGTATGATGGATACGGTAGATTTGTACATGTAGATTCAAAGAAAATATCAGAAGACTTTCACTGACAAGTCACATATCCAACAAACCGGCTTTCAGCTTCGGCTGTCATCAATTCCTATTTAATAGGCAACAGTGTGTAGGACACACACACACACACACACACACACACACACACACACAAAAAGACAAGTCATTACTTTAGGTTCAGTGATAAAAGTCAGATTGGAAATCTAAAACCACATGAACAAACCAGAAAGACTTTCCACACACACACACACACACACACACACACACACACACAGTATAATCACACACACACTCACAAGGCCAGACATGCATGCAAGTATTGGACACACATCTTTCAACTCTCATGCAAGAACATCACAGAACACACAAAGAAGTTGCAAGTTAGAGAAACTCACAAACACATTTATAGTGTAAACCGACTGTTATCACACATGGATGAGCGCACACACACACACACACACACACACACACACACACACACAGAGTTGCAGTGTAGTTGTGGTGACTGATCTGATATCCTATCCACATGTGGCCAATGAAACGCTACAAAGACCGAAAGAGAGGGAATCTGTCTCTCGCTGTCTCCATTTTTTCTTCAAGGCCACCCTCTTCATTTCTTCCCTCTCTTTTGTGAGCCGTACAAGAAAATGAATTATAAATAACCAACTTAAGCAATTATCTCGAGGACCATTCATTCAATTCATGTGTCAACTCGCGGCGAGGCAATATAAGACGCTGAAAGTTCTCTGGAAGGCGATTTTGTAAAAAAGAACAAGAAAGTTTGTTTCGGGAGAAAGTTGAATTGGTTGGCTGTTTGAATCAAATAAAACAAAAACAAACCCTTTTCAACCTTAACCATTGCCTTACACCACACTCAACAGGAATGGATGACATCCTGATAGTCAGCGGAAGGAAAAACATATATATTTTGGTAATACAAGCACGTAAAACTTTTACATAACTTTGGCTTGTGGTTTCCCACGGGACACAATCCACAGTCTCAGCATGAAAGTCCTGAGTTGGTTTGCATGTTTAAAGAAATTGGCTAATATTTGGGGGGTTACCTTCCTTATTAATGTCAACCGTGCATTCTAACTACAAACGTGCATTTTGTAAGGGACAAGTTAGGAAGGAGAGGGCCGTTAAATGAGACTCACATAGATTTAAATGTGTAGATATGACATAACAACTGTCATGCTGCAGTGGGCTGTTTATACTCCTTAAGATCACATTGCTTTTCTACATCGTCTTAAAAGATTCTTGTCACAAAAGTGTTATAGATCATTGTATGTAATGTTAAGGAAACAAAAACCTTCCACGTGTTTGGTTATGAGAACATTCATGTTATTGTGGAACCCAAACATTGTAGCAGCAACATGTTTGCTGGATCGCACAACAAACCGCAAACCCTCAAATGGTCTCACGCACATGCACACGTACCATGTACTCACCTTGGAAGCTTACGTGTGTGCATTTGCAGCGGTGGACGGGGAATCCAGGCTTGTGTTATCTTTTCCAGTCGCGGTAATGAGCAGCGGGATGAGGTGTTCCCACAAAAATATACACTTCTTCCCCTCTGCACACACACACACACACACACACCCACACACACACACACTCTTTCCGAACATCCCAAACTTCCACAAGAGCTTCCTCCTCGTTGCTCACATTCCTGTCATTACCTCTGCAACCCCCACACACACACACACACACACACACACATCGGGTACAAGAAATGACCCGGTGTAGGAAAATACATACATCCTCGACACCACACGCAATCCCCACTTTGGTTTTTACAGCCCAGTTAAGTCTAACGAGATGATTGAATTCTGTGGAAATGATGATCATGAAAGGGCCAAATCAGACGAGAAGAGAGAGGACTGAGGTGAAAAGGGTCCAATGGGGTTGAAAAAGAAGGAATGTGGTAAAAAAAAAAAAAAACAAGACAGAAGGTGAAAATTAGAAGAACGGCAGGAGAAAAGAAGGAGATGGGCAGAAAGACAACAACCCACTCGCGTGGGACGGCTGAATGACTTCACCTTTCTGCGTATGCGGTTAAAGATTAAACATTGCAGTGACGTAGTGAGACGCCTTTCCGCGTGTCACTCAAAGCCAGGTTGTTACCACCAATAGTTATAGGTAGCAACACAACTTAGTTAGGTTTAGGAAAAACCTCCTGGTTGGACATGAAATACTTACATTTAGACCTAGATTGTTGTTATATTTAAGGTAGTCAGTGCTATGTTTGCTGTACATAACTGCCTGTGCAACACCAAAAGTGCGAAAGATGTCCAACTGGACCGAAAAAAGCCCATTTGTGCGATTGTCCTAAATAAACAGTAAACAAATACTCATCGGTCAGAAAATAAAGAATCTGCCAGCAAAAAAAAACGTAACGTGGCTAATTATTATGTAGAATGAACGGTGGTAACAAAGGATTTTATTGCTCAAAAACATATTTCTGCATGCACAATAGTCTGAAAGGATCATCTTTTTTTCATCTACTTTCCAGCCACAGAAATGTTCCACAATAGCGTACAACCATTCATCAGAACCCACAAAATCAGATGTGATGAAAGAAAGAATTAAATGTGGAACAACAAGGGATGGAATGGTACAGATAAAGATGTTTGATACCGTAGAGAAAAATGCGTGGTGAAAGAGATCAAAAGAGGGCAACTAGAAAAATAATTACCTAAAAGACATCGGAAAAACCGAGATGAAAATAATGTAATGGAGAGAATAGCAAAGAGGTGAGACGAAAGGACCGAGCAAAAGAAGAAGGGATGACTAATATAAAGATGGCAGGAGGAGATGGATGAGATCACAAAGACACAGTAAAACAAGATGCAGGGATTAAACTCAGAAGGGGGGAAACAGAAGAGAGAGAAGAGAAAATGACAGTGGGCGAAGGATACAAGACCAACAACTGACACAAAGAAAAAAACAGCTGTGAGGAAAAGAGAATCACAGAACAGATTGTCCTTGTTACTTTTTGCATTCGCCAGCGGTCAGTTGTCCCGAACTCGCTCAGCGTGTGAAGCTGGAGAGGACCGAATGAGAGCAGATCACAGAGGATTACATCGGGTCACGATCACCGCATTTTCCTGCTCCTCTCCTTTTTCTCCACCCATTTCTTGCTCTTGTCTCCTGCATTGCCATCAGCAGAAGCAATCTACATGAAAACTGACATCAGAAACGTTCACAGTGGAAACACAACTTGTGTGCGCTGCAACGAATGGGTTTGCTCTGGAAGGTGCAAAGAAAAAACAGCAACAAGTGCGATCGAAAAGGACAATTTCAACTTCTTTGCATTCTGGCAAAAAAACAAACAGGCAGAGCTACCTGAACCTGTTCTGTGCCTAACGAACGCTTATTCCTATTATGTAACAATGTACTTTATTTTGATCCTTTCTCTCTGCCTGGCCCGTGTAGAGGACAGCGGTTGGATTCAGTGATGTTTTAGGGGTGCGGGTCTCAGCCAATGAGGGATATTCAGCTTCTCCAGTTCTCTCTGACCTGCTTTAGAATATATATGGATCCAGAATATGTTCATACGCTTTGTGTACCATATTATGCAGTAAATCTAAGGATCGAGAAATCTTCTTCGTCATCGTTGCGCTCAGCTGCACAATAACAAGATTTAAGAAAGTCCTTGAGGAGTGAAAGGTCACAAAGAGGTCACCTAGTCCTTGCATGGTGCGGAGGGAAAAAATCACCCATGTTCAGGCTTCACTGATGACAAGACTGCTACTCGTTTGATTTAGTATTTGTAATGTTGTAATATATGACACATTATCCTTTATTTCATTCCCACATTCTACTTCATGGCCACATATACTGTAAATAATCTATACATCTATGCTAAACTAGTTCAATGAATGACAAACATCTGTTTTCTTTAGTTGAAAATGAGATGAGATGTGTTGTCTTGGCCAGCTCGCTGATGTTGAGATTAAACTCTTTTTGGGATCAAAAATGTAACAAAAATGAGGTTGTTTCATATCAGATCATATGGTTTCAAGTCGGTTTTCATTAAGTAAATACAGTTTATTTAGTTACATCGTTTAATTAAACAGAATTTAAAGACACAAACAAAAGTATTTTATACAGAGAATTTCAATATCATCCCCGGAAGACAGATTTAGAAGCACCACACTCACAAAGTCCTGGTTTTAATTTGTCTTCATAAGATTGCTGCGTAAATCTCTTTTGATTTAATCAGAACATAGTCAACATCAAAAAATAGTCTGCCTCTGATGTTTTTTGTGTTTCAAAGTCACCAAGACTCTGTTGGTGTGAATAGAAAATAATTCCAAATGCAGATGTAGACGTATTTGTTAAATATTCTGTTAGAACTGCTGCTTCTCTGCGGCTCCGTCCTCTAGAGGAACTGAAAAATCTACCATGGCTCCATTTTCCACCAATGGTGGCCACAAAGAACAGTGCGGTAAATGTAACTGGTTTCACTGTACAAAATAAAAAATTGTGTTCTACTGTTCATGTACAAAAAAAGTATAATCTTTGGGACTAATGCAGAACAGATAAATCCTGGGAGAGAGACGTCTGTTCTTTACTCTCAACATATACACAAATATTACAGGATGTATGCAGAATAAACACCTACAGATACCTATAGTGGTTATACCTGTTGATTTATGTTCCCAACGATTTGTGTGGCAGAGCAAAGTGTAAACTGTATATATAGATATCTTTACAGTTCAGATTGCATGTTAAAGGCAAGTTTACACACACAAAATAAAATAGTGTTTGGAAGACAAGTGGAAACTTGCTACTACAATGTTTTTAAATTCAATTATTTTTAAACGAATAGTTCAACATTTTTCTTGCAGATAGTGTGAATATCATTATCATTGTTAGGCACTGGAACCAGGAGCCTTGTTTAGCCAAAAGACAGTTTAATCAACACCGTTAATGTTATTTAGTACACCAACTGGACACAAAACTAACAACATAAGTTTTGGTTCTACTGGGAGTAACATGGTTTAACTATTTTTGCACAAAATTAAATAATAAGATAAATGTGAATGAGTACATATTAGAGGTCCAGGTGCAACATCTGTTTAATATGGAAGAAAATAAAGCTGGTTCATGTCTTTATTTTAAGCCATGCTAATTGTTTCCCGGCTCCAGTGTTATTGATCTTCTAATTAAACCATCAGCAAAGAGCAAATCATTTCCTAAAATGTTGAGCTATACCTTTAAAAAATTAAATGTAAAAAACAAAATATACTAAACAAAAAATCGGTCGTTTCTGTACAAAACAATCTAACAAATGTCCATCATTTTGAATGAGTAGTGTTATTTCTATACAGCTATAAAATTAAACCCAGTGCAAAGCGAACATTTCATAGTCTCAATTCCTCCTTCACATACTGTCAAAAGACATCTATGATCTTCATATATATGTATACACACATTAAAAGGCTACATCAAAACTACATTTCAAAAAATCAAATAAAGACTCAACACATGAACCGTTATCCATGAAGGTTTAAATGACATTAAGAATTGAAAAATGTATAATAAGAGTGGTCAAAGAGCTCGTCATTATTCCTGTTGCTTTGTTTGAAGGCACAAATATCCAGACCAGAGACGATATTACCTTCCGCCAAATAAGTGTTCCAATGACATTTAAGTTGGTTGTCTGCGTAGAACTAAATGACTTGTTTTATTTTCCTTTTTGTTCAAACAAGTGATATGCTTCTATGCAGGAAAAATGTTTTCTGTATTCCAATATATTTTTCATGTTATAATCATAAACATGCTATGCCACTAAGTCTTACTGGTTGAACATAATGACATTGGAATCATCAACATATGTATGTTTGCCAGAAAGCATAAAACATTCAGATTTTGGCATCGGAGATTGACGTGCGGCCTCGTCAGAGACTGAGACAGAGAAGGAAAAGAATGTTTCCCGGTCTGAATAAACCCGCCTCGGCTTGTAAAACATCCTGATAGTTTGTGGGAGACATCAGCGGTCTACATCGGGTCTGTGGCTTCCCCGACAACACAGAGATTAGTTTGGGCCGGATCGAGCCTCTTGCATCAAGTCTTTCTCTCATGTCTGTCTGTCTGTTCCTCCTTCATTGTCCTTCAAGCCCTCTTCAAACCAGCAAAGTAATTGACTTAAACTTTGAGTTGAGAGGAGCGTATTTTTATGATCCTGAGATGAAATGTAAAAAATGAGATGACATAATATTTCTAGTTATGGATTTCTCCATATCTAGTCAGTAAGTACTTTTAGTGAGTAACTAAAAATACAATCCTGTTTTAAGGTGCATTACAGCCGTGTCATTTACAGTATTTTTCTCCCTAAGAAGCATCTTGAGTTACTAAAGTGAAAATATAACCTCTGAACAGGACAATGCACTTGCTCGACATAGTCTTTTCTACACTATTCATTTGGATCAATAGACAATCTCTTGATGAAAAGCCTCTAGTAATTTATCGTAAACACTGAGTTGCATCTGCATTGTAGCCTAAATGACTGACAGGGGTTGATTATGCAATTGTTCAGAAAAAGCCAAAAACCTTCTGCTGGAGCATCTGCCTTAAACATGACACGAGCATTGGTGCATTCCCCTCCTGCACACAATCCTATGGGTCCTAAATGACCATTCTAGCAAGTCTAATCCACCACACTGGCCTCAAGTAAAGCTGCTTATCCTGCCAGTCAATTGGTCAATATCATGTTCGGGAATGCATTTATTTCAAACTAAGGATTTTGCACATGCTTTTTGTTAGCACATTTAAAAATACTTTTATTCACTATTCCCAGCTTTGGCTCCGGGGAGAGTTGGTATAATAAAAAGACAAAAAATCTTTCTGTTCTCCACATGAAACACACTAAACATGGAATTGATCAGTAATAATCAAGGCAAAATACTAAAAACTACTTTCTTCAAAAAGAAACCCTGGTTCAAATGAACCAGACCAAAATGTGATTTATGAGATGGAATATTTATCCAGTGATACAGGCACTGTAATACACAGCGCTGCTTGCATCAGAAAGAGCAGATATAAGAGGGCTGCTCTCTTCCTCACATCCACCACTCAGAATGCTGCTGACATCCCTGTTAATTAAACTGCTACTCATGTTACTACCGCCATCGCTGCTGCTGTGGCCAATCAGGACTTTGGACCCGCCGCCACAGCCGGCGCCACCTACGTAGGCCTCCTCTCCCCTTCCGACATTTACATACTGGTCAAATTCATGCCTGTCCACCTCCGACCAAAACTCAGCAGAAGAAGACACCAAATTGCAGGAGGACTCGTTTTGATTTGAAGGCTCCAGGTGCAAAGGAGGGAAGTGGGGGATGGAAGAGGATGGGCAGGAAGAATGAGATGTTTCAGGAGGAGGTGAAAGCTGACCCAGATGAGAGGGCATGTAATATGTCGCGTTTGGAGCGCTGTTCCCGTACATTTGGCCAAAGTAGCTGACAGGAGCAATGGGTTGATGTGGCATTTGGTGTGATTTTACCAGCTCGGGGAGATTGATGGTGGCCTGAGAGTAGGGAACAGGGGAGGAGGAGTCGGAGGGAGGTGGCGGGCACTTGACAGGGCTCCTCAAGGCAATGTGGTGACTAGAGGTGTGACTTAACCTAGAGCTCATGCTCAAGGTCATATTTGACTCCGCAGAATTCATTCTTGTATCGACTCTGGAGTCTCTACTTGGACTCAAACAGGTGCTTAAACTGGCACTACCACTTATTCCTGAACCCAGGCTGTGTGTTTCTTTACCATTCATGGTGGTGTGACTGTGGTTATTGTAATTGTGGCTGTAATGTTGGTTATGATGGTGAAGGTGATGATTGTAACCACTCCAACCTCCCATCGCTGTCTCCTCTTGCATGTGTTGGGGGAAAAACACAGATTCCCCAGCTCTGTCCTCCAGAATATCCAGAGGGGACATCTCTGGAGTGGGCAGGCCGTAGCTCTCCAGGTCTGAGTGTCCTTGGGCCTGAAAGTCCCTGAAGTGCCCTAGAGGATGCAGCAGGTGGTGCGAGTGATGATGATGCCCATAAGCTGAACCTCCATGGACACTTTCTGCCCCCAAGGGGCTGATACCAGATCCTAATCCGAGTCCTGGTGCCCCTCCCTGGGCTAAACTATGCAGCAGAAGCCCCGGTTCAACCCGCTTGAGTTTTTTGGTGGTCTTTTTACGCCGAGGCCTGTACTTGTAGTTGGGGTGATCTTGGAGGTGCTGCACACGGAGACGTTCCGCTTCCTCCACAAATGGTCGTTTATCTGTTGCACTCAGGGCTTTCCATGACTGGCCTGAAAGGGATGGAAAAAATAGAAATAATAAACTAATGTACTTTCAGTACCTTGAGCAGAGATTGAAGTTTCTGAAGAAAATAACTGATGTTAATCTCATTAATTGTAAATATCTACATCAAAGTTGTGAAGAACATCATCTTCATTAGCAGGGCCATTGTCTGGCATGAGCGGTATTGACCAATGCAAAAGGCCTCATCCATCCATGAGGGCGCGCAGAATGAGATGAGGAAAATTTTGTTTTACTAATACTATTTAAACAATTACAACACAACTACGCCTCCGGAATTTGTAAATAGTTATTTTGCAATGTAGTTAACCTTGGAGTAGAGTGCCATAGTGGGTTAATTTGCATGAAGGTTATAAATAACAGTTAGCGTGAGTTACGCCCAGTTTAAGTGTATAAACCCAAAGATTGCTGCTTTAATTGGATGCAATGCTAACAGCATCAGTTACAATCTTGCCTGGTTCGGGACGGCTTTGTTTATCAGACTGCCACATTTTTTTGATTACAAAATATCACTATTTTGCACTATACTCACTCACAATCACTATAAGAACATTCTGACATATTAAAACGGTTGGCTCTGCCCAACAAACTGCCCAAAACCTACATTTTAGTCCATTGTCATCAGCCAAACACTCATTCATATGTGAAATGAATGCCAACATTTTTGCGGTGAAATAACTTGGAAGTGATTATCAGAATCTGTTGGTGTTGGCATTTGCAATATTTTCTGTCTAAATTGACTCTAAAGTTATTTGTTATATGTGGTTTGAGGATGTGAGTGAGACGGCTGTGTGTTGGGACTCGTTCAAATCAAACAGCAATGATGAGAACTTAAACAAACCCCTCACAATGACAGCAGCCTTTGCAACATTGCAGTCTCAACAAGTTTCATTTTCAGGGGATTATTCCGGTCATCTGGTTAAAAAGTTGTGCAGACACCTCGAGTGAACCGTATCTGATGTACTTCCAACCGACAGGTTTAAGACCTTTTCTGCTTTGAATCTTTGAGGCTCTAAAGATCTCAGCTGCAGCTGGAGATGAGTGTAGAGTTGAGACATTGCATCAATTCAATACCAAGGTGAGAAATAACATGCTGCATTCTACAGTAAGAGAAAAGCGAGTTGGTGAAACATGCTACCTGCTACTAAAATCAACGTGAAGAATTTTAGTAAGATGTTCAATGCCACCTTTTGAGTTGGACATTGAAAAGGATTCAGTCTATTTTCCTCACTTTTCCTGCACACAAATGAGCTTTTTATATATTGCCAAGTCTTTGTAACACTGATAATGCAAATAATTTGGGACAGTTGCAATATTATTTTTGTGAAATCATATACATTTATGAGTAAGGCTTTTTATAACATAACATAATTGGTGCCCTATTGGTATGATTAGTCCCATTGAGACTAAACTGACTGATATGGGTGGGCTTGTCACAATGGGCTAATGACATTTTCTGAAAATCCAAACTTAATTTTGATACAGTGCATCTAAACTGGCCCAAAGACATCTTAAGACTCCGATCGTCGAATGGGGCAAAGAGCATCTCAGTCTTGATGCTCTTTGGAATCTGCGTTCTGATGTGGTAAATTTCACACCTTAACAAAAGTAAAAATAAATGCCAAAGAATGAATTGCTCATAGTCAGGTGATTCTCACATTCAGGTAGAGTTTTATTTTACCCTCATTCGTATCGTTTGTCTTACCTAGCATCTTGCTGAGCACAGCGTTGTGTAGGTCAGGGTTCTGCACGGCAAGTCGTTTCCTCTCGTCTTTGGCCCAGACCATGAAGGCGTTCATAGGCCTGCGGATCCTCTGCTCTCCCCCCACAGCCTTCCCATCAGCTGCGCCTGGCAGAAGACCTCCTGCATGGCTCAGGTCCGGACTCTGTCCCCCTGAACTCGGTGTCAGGCAGAGCCTCCGTTCTGCTCTCATCATGTTCCCACTTCTAAGGTCATCGGGAGAACTGCAGTCCCCGGAGATGTTCTGCTCGAAACCCGGTTCAGAATCGGAAGCAGGGCTCGGGGTCCCCGACACCCAGCGGCCCCCGAGAGACATCCGGCCGGCGTGCAAAAGGGTCTCTCTGGTCGAACCGGTCTTGGCTGAATTCATTCCAGAACAGGGCTCGGAATCAACTTTTAGTCCAAGTGGAAGTGAGCAAACGTCTGTCTCAGCTTTTTGGATTGCAAACTTCTGGGAAAAAAAAGTTGCTCGAAATGTTCCAGGGGACAAAATGAAAGATCAAGAGAGGAATCTGATGGATTTGGAGCACAAATTCCAAAGCAAAGCATCGAGATCTGAGAGTAGCTTGGAAACGAGAAAGAAAGAGAAAACAAACAAGTTGTGGGTCAGGATATTCCCCCTGGAAATGATCCACAATGATTCTGCCTTTTTCCCTTTTTTCCCCCTCAAACAGTTCTTGTTTTGAGTGTGTGGTGCAGTGGTTTGCCCAAAGCTCCTCAGTCACATGGACCGTCCCACTGGCCGTCTCTCTGTCTGTCTGCCCTGTTTGAACGTTTAAAAACTTGTGGGCCAGATTTAACCGACCCATGCTGAGCATATATACCCCCGCCCTGACCAATCACATAAATATATAGCCGGGGTACTTAACCAAATGAGACGCCAGGCGGGCACAAGAGGTAAGACACCAAGTGTGTGTGGGGGGAGCAAAAGAAAGGGAAGGGGTAGGGGGGGGTGGGGTCCAAGCGTCGCCTCCCCCTCTTTCCTCCTCCACGACCGCCACCCTTTACTCCCCCCTGAAGCTTGACACACACGCGCACACACACACACACACACCCTGTCCGCCTGTACAGGGAGATGTAATCATAGAGGTTCCATTGTTTCTGCCCAACTGAGAACGAAGCTTCTCACACACTCAAGGCCCACATGCATGCAAACCAAAGAACACACACACTCGCACACACACACACTCGCAAATGCATGACACGAGCGCACATCAAAATGAGAGCAAGACAACTCATTTATAATCACATTTGCGGACAAATTAGAGAGAAAACATGAAAACACACTGATAGTATGTATTGTTTTGTGTGTCTGTTTATGTTTATACTTAAGAAGAAGAAGAAGAAGAGGTGGGTGGTGGAGCTTAAGGTTCCCGGGTTTATTGATGCCGCAGCAACCAATACTGGAGTGCACTTAAGACATAAAATTGTAGGCATGATGTTGATTATTCACAGTGTAAACGCCGTTAACAAATGCTGTTGATATTTGACTAAAGATTCATGAAGGATTCATGTCAAAAATCTGCAATCTGTAAAACACAGCAACATAAGACAGCATCACTGAAGGCCCACTGCTGTAGAACCTTGGCATCTTACTTAGACACACCAGGCTTTCAAGTAACTCCAATTCAGACGTACCTGCAATAAATGAGATGCTCAGAGCATCTTCTCCAAGTCCATTGAAGTAGTAGGTGGAGAACAGGTTGGATAGTCTGCTCAAACAAACACACTTTGTGTCCCTTTTAGCTCACGACGCATATCGATGTTGGCTATGTGCCTGAAGTTATGCAATAAAATGGACTTAATGCAAAACCGAGTAGTTCTGTTTCCCAAACCCATTCTCCAAAAAGTCTACGCATTGATACGGAGGCGTTTTCGTGTTTGGGTTTATAGAATTTGACCCAGATTTAATCAATATTTGTTATATCTTTGTGAAAAATACGGATACAACTAATACTACTTACTAGGTGTTTGCCTTCATCCCCCAACAACACAATCTCTTAAGATGAATATTGTATGTGGTGAGTTTGCCAAGGACAAGCCCCCCCTCCACCTTTCATATAATAACGCCCTGCACACACACACGCACACAAACACACGCGTGCACTCAATATACACACATACTTCCCCCCCACGCCCAGCTCCAGGGGAGAATGCTGCGGCGTCTCAGAGCCTCCAACTCCACCAACCAGGAACTACTCCCACTTATCACTGCTGTCCCAGGCTCCTCGTGTGCGCGCGTGTCTGTGTTTGTGGTATCCGCTGTACCTTTTGACAGGAAAATAAGAAATAACATGTTAACTTCATTAATATAACTTCTGTACAAACTGAGTATACAAAGTGCTTTGACAGACAAAGCAGCAAAAGAAAATCAATAATTCAACAGAAAGCTCCAGAGTGATGAGGCCCAACAAGCACAACTAGATCATATATTTTAAATAAAAAGCTGTGGTGAAACAGGGATTTAGTCGCTTTACTTATTTATCTCAATTTTGATTCCATCATTTTATTTTACAAACAATTTTTTTTCTCGATTTACTATAATATTCTATTACTTTTTATCACATGTATTGTTTCAGCTACATAAAGAAGCCATTCTATAAAATTGGGTTTTAAGAAATGATTTAGAAGGAATTACTGAATTTTTCTCTCCTAAAGCAGGTTGATCCAAAGCCAAGTGGCCTTGAGCACACAGACCTTCTCGCTCTGAGCGAGTGACTTTTGGTTAATGCTACAGGGGATGCGGCTCCACTACGGTCACGTTTTGATAAGAAGAGAGCATGAAGGACGTTTAAGGTCGGAAGGATTGGTTTGATTTTTGAAGACTGTGTCAATAGTGAGGGGGCAGAGGGAGATGTCAATGGTACTAATGGTTGACTTTATAATTATAATAATAATATGATAAACTAACGTTTACTGATTTTGAGGCATCCAACGGAAAAAGAAAAATCACGATGTACCATCTAAAATACCAGCTTTAGAGGTGGGGGTGGGTGCGTTTTTGAACAGGCTGCCTGTCTTCCCCCGTTTCCCCATTCTCTGTATGAAACGTCCCCTCTCTGAATTAGCAGCTTCCCTTTCTAAATCACTTTTTGCTTTCATATACGACAATGTGTTTAGAGATTATGATCTTGGAAACGAGACTTCACATCCATGTGTTCTTCACGACTAACCCATCTGTATTTTATCCGGCTTTATCATTATCAATCAATGTCCCGTCCAGTATAGATATACCGACAAAAAATGTGTGTGTGTGTGTGCGTGACACAGTGTCATAGCACCACACCTTTGCCACAAAGGGAATTTGGCAACAGCTCCAGACTTTGTGGCGAGAAAGAAAAGAGAGACAGAGAGAGAAAGGAGGAGGGAGTACATGGCAAGAGCGACATTTTTTCTAGAACTCCTGATAATACACACACACACACACACACACACACACACACACACACACACACACACACACACACACACACACACACACAAGCACACACCAACATTCGGGACAAGAAGCCAAGACACAATGGCATCGTAATGGGTGTGTTTACTTGAGTGTGTGTGTGTGTGTGTAGGTGTGTGTTTATGTGTGGGAGAGGTCATGTTCACACACCGTTCTATTTTTGAACACGCTGAAAGAGGGAAGTGTGTGTGATGATGGATTGGAGACACACGCGCACGCGCACACACACACACACACACACACACACACACACACACACACACACACGCACACACCGTTTACTGGTCGCCGCGGGAATCCCCCACCTTTATCTTCCAAAGACACACACAGACACACATACACACACACACACACACACACAATTGCATAATGCTCAAGAGCCAGGACAGAAACAGTCACACAAAGTCCGAGTAAGATAGACCGTAAACCGAAATTGGACTCAAACCCTCCTGAGTCCTAAAAACAAAATGAAAAATACTTTCAGTGTTATTTTTTTAAGCTAAGCTGATCCAAACAACATTTATCTATGTGTCTTACCATTTTTTGTTTTTGCTGGTACGTCAGGATTAACTTAAAGGCAGCTGTGACGTAAAAAGTTTGTTGGCTCAAGCGAAGCTTAGCTTAGAGCATGCTAACATGGGCTAATTAGCACGGAACATAAAGCTGAGGTTGGTCTTTCCTCTAATACATTCATATTTTATAAACCAAAAATGCTGGTGGAAAAAAATGATCTTGCCATTTGACCTGCAAACTGATAATTCGGCCTGGGTGGAAGGTGATTGTGGGCCAACCAACTTTGCGATAATCCATCCAAGTGTTGAGACATTTCCCTGAAGAACAGAAACGTTAGCGTCGTTTGGTTGTTCACGTCTGACGGTTTGAGCAAAGCCACAAATAAGTCTGTTTTTGCTTTGCTTGTCTCAGATGTCTGTTGGGTCATTTCATGTTTATATGTGATTCTTTATGATCCAAAAATACTTGGGCGCGATTGAGAAGAAGAAGTCTTTTTTTCCTAATTGCCTCTGAAAGGGCGGTTTACACAAAGCTTTCCGCGCTGAGCTGATGAAAGCCACTCCAACATCTGATTGAATAATTTCATAAATGTCAGCAAAAGTTTAAAAAATACACAATTTCTTTGCAGAGCTCAAAGTTTTTTCTTTTTTTTCTTTAGGAGAAACAGAAAGAGTACAAAACAACGCCTGCTTCTTTGAAAATCTTTCAAAAACTTCTTGGAAAAGCACTCAACAGTTAAGCCATTCTTTTTCTGACCTAATTTGATTTTCTCCTGTGGTTACCCTGCGTTGGCCTGTATATTGTCTGCAGTTGTTGAGGAACAACTAATCGTTTTTATGTCACACAGACCGTTGCATGCTCACGCAGACATTACCTTCGGGTCAACACTATCCTGCATGAACATGCTATGGCACGTCCTTATCACCAGACAATCACCTTTATTTCTAAGGGTTTTTTGTGAGTCTATTGGCAGCCCTGCAGCGGCTTATCACTTATGCTGTAATGAATCCACTGCAGCGCCACCGGACAGTATAGCACCTTTCCCTACGGAACACAACGCCTCTGATTTCAGGTCAGACACTCGTTTTTGTCTCTCATCCCGCATGTCCTGTTGCCTCCTCGCCTGTGTTATTTTCTCTTCCTTTTACGGATTCTCACAACACTGCCTCCCTGACGGAAGTTTTCAAATGTTTAGTGTTTATCCCTTTTGTTTGTGTTCTCAGATCTTAATTCTCCTCTTTCTACTTCATTCCTCTACTCATCGTCTCTATCAAATGTGGTGGAAAAAGATAATGTGAAGCAGTAAAATTGTGGAGTTATGTGTATTTTAAGCTGCGGGAATTTCCAAACTTAAGTGTACAATTGCATATTATTATGAAATAGTATAGATTCACATACTGGCGGTTGCTGGAACTCTTCAATCCACCAAAGACATTGTGACATTTACAGACCTTGTTAGCTCACCAACAGCTTAATATTGCAAAGCCTCTGCTGAAAAGTTGTGCTGCTTTAGCAACCGCATGCGCTGAAGTTCAGTCAACTCCTGTCAAACTGCCTAATTAAAAGTAAAAGGGTTCAAATTCAGATCCCTGCACTGTCTGGGGTGAAAAAAAAAAATCAACACTGTTCTTTTATTAATAAGCAGTGGGAGGGCCAATCTACCACAGTGAAGCATCCCAGTGGTTCCACAGTGTTAGACTGCCGGTCCACTCAGTGAAAGTGTGGAGTGCAAAAAGCCATTCACTCACATTTACACCTTCTGGAATTGTACCATTTTCTTTTTTTCTGCACCTGTGGCTGCGGAAAGTGAACGGAAGGATTACATTGCTCGTTGTCATCTGTGATAATTACAATATTAATTGTAATTGTGGCCAAACTGC